TACTCGGCTGTTCACAAACACATGCATATCATACAGTATGAATTGTTTAACCTACTCGGCTGTTCACAAACACATGCATATCATACAGTATGAATTGTTTAACCTACTCGGCTGTTCACAAACACATGCATATCATACAGTATGAATTGTTTAACCTACTCGGCTGTTCACAAACACATGCATATCATACAGTATGAATTGTTTAACCTACTCGGCTGTTCACAAACACATGCTTATCATACAGTATGAATTGTTTAACCTACTTGGCTGTTAACAGAGATTCCATGTGGTTATGGAAAGGGTTTTGTCGCTTTACTCTACATCCTGCTTCTTCAACAAGCACTGGCTGCCAGTCTGTATGTTACAGTGTGCTGAATCAATGCTTTATAAGCGTTGCTACTTCTCCTTCTCCATTACCTGTCCACCATTGCCTTATCAACGGTGGTACTGTGTCAAAGGCATTTAAAGCATTGATTTTTCAAAAACATATTTCCTTGACACAAATTGACGTCACAAGCATAGAACTCCCTACCGCGTCATCTTGAACCATACTCCAAATTTGGTTTTGTGTGGAAGGGTAATGAAGAAAGTACCTGACGCCATGGTTTTGCTGCCGACGCCGTGCGCTGTTTCAGCGTGGCCGGCCTTCACACGACAATGTCACGGGGATGTGTCATAGAAAGAATGAACAAAAGCACATGTGGGATAGAGGTGGAAAAAAGTTCTATGTTTATGATTATTCCAAATGTGTCGGTGGTTCATACCCAATATTTTGCATGCACATGTCCTATTTAATCCCAAATGCTGATAATGTCTTCTTTTTGTTTAACCTTGCAGAATGTCCACCTGAAAGAGTACAGCTTCTACCAAGCTTCATTCAATAATGGCCGTGTATCTGACTTTAATTTTCAACATGTCGTAGGCAAAGCCAGGAATGGAATGACATTTATTGTTATTTGAAAAAGAAAGATATTTTTGCCATTGAATGAACCAACCGGCAACTAATGTATACGAGACAAATATTCAAATCCCTTTGTGTGACCATTCACTTGAACAACAAGATGACTGTATGGAGGACAAGTGTCTTGTTTGTCACAGCGATCGTGGATCTCACCAAAGTCCTGGGTTCGAATCTCACATTCGTCCTGATTATTATCCTTGGATTGTTTGCTCCATACCATACTAATAAAACGTGGGACGATGGCTCACTCGATCTCTCACTCACTCGATCTCTCACTCACTCGATCTCTCACTCACTCGATCTCTCACTCACTCGATCTCTCACTCACTCGATCTCTCACTCTCTCGATCTCTCACTCGATCTCTCATTCACTCGATCTCTCACTCACTCACTCATTCACTCACTCTATTCTTCTGTTCAAAGATGAAGTGAGAGTACATCAACGCAGAAGCGTACTACATCTTAAAACAGGCTATACTGAGATAGCATAAGTTGTGTTATCATCAAAGTTGTATCATCATCAGACCAGCTGGAGCTTGCAGCAACATCCCCGAGTCCGGCACTGCACGAACAGCATCACACGGTCCTCGTGGGCCTCTTGAGGCGTCTCCAAGTCAACTTCAAGACCATGATTGATCTGAAGATGTCAGTGTGCAACACAGGCCTGCTTAACTTCAGTCAGTTATATTAATTTTGCAACATCAAAGGGCCTCACTTGAGAGAATGACACATTTGTAGTGCTATTGCCTGTCTGGTTAGGGAAATGGTCAGATAACGGCATTAACGTCCTCGCCCTGCAAATATCCTGGCAATTTCTAGCTGTACAACTAATTTTCCACAATGAAACTTGCGTTTTAATAGCCTTGAGAATGTAAAAGAGATACTACTGCGCTAAATATTCTTCACTTCACACGGAGACCACTGATGTACGCTGACAATGAAGGTGCTATACAACCATTAACGTCATCCTCAGGATGTAACCGGCCCGACCAGGTTAACACTAATTGGACGAGTACCTGAGTAGGTGTTGGTATCAACGTGTGTGTCTACACAGAAAGAACAGGTGTATACAACTTCATGGTACTAACTGCTTGCGTTACAACCTAACGAGCGTATAACGGTATGTACTAATAGGAGAGAGTAGATGCCGTTATGAGCTCGTATAAAGAAGTAACGCAAATTAATAGGAAGCCCATGAATATCCGGGTTAGAATTGATCTTCACTAACCCATGATTGTAAGAGACGAACGGGATCGGGTGGTCAGGCTCGCTGAATTGGTAGACACATGTCATCGTATCCCAATTGCATAGGTCGATGCTCAGACTCGATTATTTACAGACCGCAGCCATATGGCTGGAATATTGCTCAGTGCGGCGTAAAACTAAACTCACTCAGTCACTCATTCACTCACTACTTATAGGAGGAACATGCGTGTTAGCACACAGGGCAAGCGTTTGTTGCTATCTACATGGTAGGACTCATTTCTGCATGTCGCACTCCACCCATCTGTCCATTGACACTATACTACCATGTTTAAGATTCGATCCTACTAAGACCTCTGCAAATGAGTCAAGACCGTCGTGTGTTCTGCCAATGTAGATGCATATCGTTCAGCAGAACTGTAAAAACATTGTTTGACGAAAAACACGCCTATATTTGCCCTTGAGGAAAGGACAGCGCTAATTGCAACTGTTTTTTGTAATTAGTTACAAATTTAGCATCCTGGAATATACGCCTTCTTTGTGCTCGGGATGACAATATTGATTACGTCATCAGTGTAGCAGGCTTGACGGTATGGTAGTGAAGTCTGTCTCACGACTCGTCGATAACCACAGGTGATACACCACGATTACCCTACAGACGTGGCCGGCCCACGCTTCTCATTCCAACACTCCCTTTAATCGATATCGTCTTGTTTTGAAGGAATCTCAAAAAACCTTGTTATGAACTTTGTTATTTATATATTGCTTCGGATCAGGGTTTAACTAGGTACAAGTTATTATTCTGTTTGCTTGAAAACGAATTACTTAACATTTGTGTTATACTGTATTGGTTCTTCAAACAACTGATTACAACGGTGATGTATATTAAATATTGCATATGTTTATATAAGGTGGTTTCTATTAATTAAAGTTGGCCAAATATCATTATTTAGGGGTTGTTAAATGTGTTCACCTGTTCGGGATTCTAGTGAAAGGATACACGTGGTTTTATGAGCACGTTAACCACTTTACAGCAGTAAGTGTTCCAAAACTGATTTAAAAAGACAACACCATGCTAACGGGGTGTTTTTGTTAACATGTTTTCTAGTTTTGAACATGTTTGGTAATCATACACATATTATCTGTCAAACACTGCATCTGCTTTAAGAATGGTTTCGATGGTCACAACCTTAGCCAAGTTTCAGGCGTGATGTCCAGTTGTGGCAGAGACAAGAAATAAGTCGAACGATTTTCTATATTTAAATACAACAATTGATGACATTAGTGTCTTCACGTTCTGTGAAGGGCATGGTTGTACAATCAATGAGGAGGGCCTCATCTTATTGGGATGCTGCTGGGGTAATTACTGACCGCGCTTCCATCAGAGGCAACACACGTATCTTATGTGCTCGCAGTGAGTGAATTTCAAGGAGAAGAAATAAAAGAAAACTATTGGGGCAGAATTATATAAATATCCCATTAACAGGAGTGAAGAGAATGTAAGAACCTGCAAAGTAGTGACATAGATTGGTTAGACAAGGAATGTTTCTGGGATGGAATTATCTGGGCATAGTTAGGAACCAAAAACGTCTATGAAAATTGTGTGTATGGCGGTTGTTTCAGGGTACAACGGGACATATTTACCCCTGTTTGATGAACACCTGGTGTCAGCATTGATTTTCAGTGGTTGATCCACATATCGTTCATCACTACTTTGCCTTTTACACCCCAATATTGTTTTAGTAGACAATAGAGACTGGTGAATAATATGCTCTGACGGTGACGTTTGTAAATATAGGTGGTAAGTGAGTGAATGTAGCTGCACGCCGCTTAAGTCTCTATTCCAGCAATATCAAGGCTGTGGACACCAGAATTGGGCTCAGATATTGTTCTGATATTGGGAATCGGGGTTTAAAGCCTGACGAGCGAAGGATTCAACCACAAGGCTATGTCACCGCCCGTAAACAGCTGTTGAGTTCGGCGAGGTAGTCCATTCGTATTCTTTTTCACACGAGACATATATTCGAACTCACTCACTCTTGTAACATAGTTACAGGAGCGACGTCAGGCACTGGCATACGCAGTGCAAGAAAACAGCACCCATGTTCTTGGTGTTCCCCACATGAATAAGAGGGTGTAATGTAGCTATGTTCGTGGCGATCGCTTCCTGAAGTAGACGGTGTAATGCACCTAATTTAGTGGCGATCGTTTCATGAAGAAGAGGGTGTAATGTACCCAATTTAGTGATGATCGCTACCTGAAGTAGACGGTGTAATGTACCCAATTTAGTGATGATCGCTTCCTGAAGTAGACGGTGTAATGTACCCAATTTAGTGATGATCGCTTCCTGAAGTAGACGGTGTAATGTACCCAATTTAGTGGTGATCGCTTCCTGAAGTAGACGGTGTAATGTACCCAATTTAGTGGTGTAATGTACCCAATTTAGTGGATGATCTCTTCCAAGTAGACGGTGTAAGTGTGTGATCGCTTCCAATTTAGTGGTGATCGCTTCCTGAAGTACCCAATTTAGTGGTGATCGCTTCCTGAAGTAGACGGTGTAATGTACCCAATTTAGTATGACGGTGTAATGTACCCAATTTAGTGGTGATCTCTTCCTGAAGTAGACGGTGTAATGTACCCAATTTAGTGGTGATCGCTTCCTGAAGTAGACGGTGTAATGTACCCAATTTAATGGTGATCTACAGGTTAAAATAAGTGTACTTACAGATCACAGAACAATTTAAGAGAACTAACATGTTGGAGTGTCAAATGGCCTAATGAATTTTAAGATTATGGTCTAGTACATACGATTCATGCAACTGATCACGCAAGTCACTTTCGATTTTACTTCATTTTAATTCACATAATAATCATAAATAAAGATGAATCAACACCACGATGACAGATTATCACAGCAAAATTATGACATGAGCAAGTGAAACATTGAAATAACATGGATGGAATAGAAAAATCTGTAAAATATAGATATAATTCAAATATAATCACTTATATGATAGAAACAGTTTCTACATATATCTAACAATACAATACATCTAGTCAACGAACATTAACCATTTAACTAAGCTATCAACAATTTCTTATTATAATGCTAAGATGAGTAACAATAACATTTCAACTTCTATATCAACTATTTACACACTAGGAGGATTCTACGGGAGCATGTACAATACATCAAAGCTTTGTGGTAACACACAGACTGGATCTGGTATTAAACATGTTATTACATGTGTCCAATAATCACAAAAACTATCGCATAACGTAAATGTAAATATGAAAATTAAACTGAAATTTCTACGCACATTTTCATAAAAATCACACACCTTGAACTTGTAAGTTTTTAATATTTAGAACGAAACGGATCCAGTCTAAATCAAACAGTGCCAAGCCGTTTTATACAAGACAGGTATAACCAAGGTCAAGGTTAGCACCAATGTGGGTCAATACTTGTCCATCATACGTCATCGAGTCTTGTGTACAACGTCACAGGAAATGTAAACACAACCTATGACGTCACGGATACTTAGCACCAAGGGGGAAAGCATGAGCGGCATGTTTGAAAGACGGGACAGATAGGGAGGAGCGCTTACGGAGAAGGTTACACACCACTGAAAACCTGTTCTCTACATATGAATGTCAAAACACACTTCACAACCTAATCAAATGTCGTAATATTTTTAGTAGATGCATAACGATTGTCTAGTACGTAATGTTTAATGGCGCTAGGAAGTGGAGCGAACGTTGAGACGTATGTTATGAATATATGTACATTTTTTTAAAAACTATGAAGATTTACAAGTAATTATTTTGTCATCCTCTTTCGACAGAACACGTTGTCTCAAAAACGACTTATTAAGAATATGTTGCCCCTTAACCGCAAAGCATGTACATATGTCCTCAGATACAGTTTCAAAATAAAATGTTTGTGGCCCATTTTCCTTAAATTGAAGAATGCTTCTTGATATTTTGCTGTGAATGAATTATCTGAATTATTATCCTACGCACAGCAGGGGTTATTCAGCATAGCGTCCGTCACTGGCTAGACTCTTGTCATCGACAGCGTTATAGCTTGTGGAGGTCGACATGACAATGTTCTGCATCTCCGAGTCTAGAGTGGGGTCATCTGGAACGTAGTAAAACTTGGAAAACACCCACATCCGGAGCCGATACAGGAGGTTGAGGATGACCTGTGCCAGCATCGCTTGAAGGACGCAGAGAACACAGGTGATGACAGCCTCTACTGGCTTATTCCAGTTCATGAAGTTATAAGCGTAATGTCTCTCTTCACGAGAGTCCGTTACAGTGCCGTCGTTGAGGAAGTAGATGGCGTTGAAGAGAGCGTAGACGGAGCCGAGTGTTATTGTCATGAACATGTGTAGCACACGTAGCGGGGTGCCGCTGATCATGATGTCGGTGATGACGTACACAGTGTTCATGGTGTGCTTGACACGGCTCATCGGTGTAGCCAGCAGTTCTGTAACCAGAATAAAACCCACGTGTTAACGCACCTGATCCGCATTATGTGTTAATGCTGTCAGATAAACACTAAGATGTGTCAGTTACATCGTTCATGTTAGTTAGTTCCTTCAATAGGAAACACAAGTATAACTCAATTACTAAGGTGTATCACTGAAAAACTATCAAGTTTCGAAGAAGGTGACACGATCATATACGTTACTGGTTTGTAACACAAAAGGATTGTAATATTGTATGTATCACATTTCTGCAAGGACTTAGTTACCATCACCTTCCAGCATCATAACAAAGTAGAATTGAACCGGTTACTGCCAGTTATATAACAGTAAACTGAACCGACCACTACACCTTTAGTACCAAAGTAAGATTAAGGGAGCTAATACCACTTGAATAACAAAATAAGATTAAATTGGCTACTGTCAGTAATATATCTATGGCAGATCAAATTGGCTATTGACAGTAATATATTTATGTCAGATTAAATGAGCTACTGTCAGTAATATAACCATGTCAGATTAAATTGGCTACTGTCAGTAATATAACCATGTCAGACTAAATTGGCTACTGTCAGTAATATAACCATGTCAGATTAAATTGGCTACTGTCAGTAATATATCTATGTCAGATTAAATTGGCTACTGTCAGTAATATAACCATGTCAGATTAAATTGGCTACTGTCAGTAATATAACAATGTCAGATTAAAATTGGCTACTGTCAGTAATACAACCATGTCAGATTAAATTGGCTACTGTCAGTAATATATCTATGGCAGATCAAATTGGCTATTGACAGTAATATATTTATGTCAGATTAAATGAGCTACTGTCAGTAATATAACCATGTCAGATTAAATTGGCTACTGTCAGTAATATAACCATGTCAGACTAAATTGGCTACTGTCAGTAATATAACCATGTCAGATTAAATTGGCTACTGTCAGTAATATATCTATGTCAGATTAAATTGGCTACTGTCAGTAATATAACCATGTCAGATTAAATTGGCTACTGTCAGTAATATAACAATGTCAGATTAAAATTGGCTACTGTCAGTAATACAACCATGTCAGATTAAATGAGCTACTGTCAGTAATATAACTATGTCAGATTATCTTGGATACTGTCAGTAATATAACTATGTCAGATTAAATTGGCTACTGTCAGTAATATAACTATGTCAGATTAAATTGGCTACTGTCGGTAATGTAACCGAGTAAGATTAAACTGTCTAGTGTCTAGTTGGGCCACAAATGTAAGATCAAACCAGCCTCTATCGGTTAAGTAAGACAATGCAATTGAACCAGTTTCTGTAAGTTATTTAGCAAAGTAGGATCAAACAGTCTGCTGTCAGTTAAATAAGAAAGAAGGTATGAACCAGTTTCTGTCAGTTATTTAGCAAAGAAGGATCAAACAGTCTGCTGTCAGTTAAATAAGAAAGAAGGTATGAACCAGTTTCTGTCAGTTATTTAGCAAAGTAGGATCAAACAGTCTGCTGTCAGTTATATAAGAAAGAAGGTATGAACCAGTTTCTGTCAGTTATTTAGCAAAGTAGGATCAAACAGTCTGCTGTCAGTTTTTAAGAAAGAAGGTATGAACCAGTTTCTGTCAGTTATTTAGCGAAGTAGGATCAAACAGTCTGCTGTCAGTTTTTTAAGAAAGAAGGTATGAACCAGTTTCTGTCAGTTATTTAGCGAAGTAGGATCAAACAGTCTGCTGTCAGTTTTTTAAGAAAGAAGGTATGAACCTGTTTCTGTCAGTTATTTAGCAAAGTAGGATCAAACAGTCTGCTGTCAGTTTTTTAAGAAAGAAGGTATGAACCAGTTTCTGTCAGTAATTTAGCTAAGTAGGATCAAACAGTCTGCTGTCAGTTATATAAGAAAGAAAGCATGAGCTGCTGCCAGTTTATAACCAGATGACATTGTCACTAGTTCTCTCCAGGATCGGGCACAAAACCTCGTGTCCTGTTGACCTCATCGGACAAGGTTACTTTCAGGACGCTTACATAACCAGATGCTAGTGTATTTGTGCTCTGCAATGCCGTGCCCTCGCTAGGCACTTGTTTCAGGGAAACACATCTAATGATTCATCTGTGACACAACAAAGTCAGTTGGTGCACTAGGCTAAAGTCACTGTATACAATTGACTCCGAATCTGTTCAATTGATTCAATGCCGTAAAGTGACAATTGAGTTGTTGAACATTGGCAGTCGCTGAAAACTATTAATTGATTTTGCAAATTATTGACAAACTGAAGTCAGCTTCTAACAGCCTTATAAACAGACACGCTAGATACGGAAATGTAGTTCTGTCACCGCCGACATTGTGTTAATACACATATTGATTTTCCAAAGGCACAAATTGAAGTCGTTTACAAGTCTACAGCTTGTGGATATCTCAAGCAAAGGGCATAATTCTCCATCGCATCAAATCGCAATAATTTATCTACAAATGGTCCATATGTTTTCAAAATGAATATCTCATACCGCTGAACGTGATAAAAACAATTTCGTTGACACCACAAACATGAAGTAACATTGTATCGCGGAATACACACCTTTACAATGTTCTATCACTTAATCTTTTCAACATTGTTTTGTAATTATGCATTAATAGCAGTAAACTACAGGTTATGAAAGCGATATATACAATTACAGAGGCGTCATAAAACAGCATTCACTCACTTGAACAGCTAGGGGAGTGAGTTCATTTCTTTGTAGCGTTAGGGAAATATTCGACCAAATTTATTTGTGTGATGAGGCAACTACATGGCACATTAGAAATATATATATATGAACACTGTGGATGACAGCTTGATTGATTTTCCCACACAGTTGATGTGAAGATATAATGGGTGGGGCTGCGATCAACGGGAATGTGTGTGGGCGTATGCGTGGCGTGGTTATCTAGACACCAATGATATTACAGATCAAACACGACGTCACAGTCAAACGTCCAACTGTGTCTGTCGGAGTTTCTATTAACTACTTTCATCGAATTACACAAGTGTTTGTTGGATGAATGATACAATGTGTGTTGAATGACTGTCGACTATGCGGACCACTGATGGGTAGTGTTCATATAGGTGTGTGAATCATGAATTAATTCCGTTTGTCTGTAGCCTTAAGTGTACATGTTAATTAATACGGATGTTTTATCAGGAAATACTGATACTTGTATGACTGAGGAATTGTTGTCGATCTTCCTGTAGATGATTCGGATGTTATACTAGAAAATACAGACTACTGTATGACTTAGTAATTGATGTCGACCATCCCGGGTGCAATTCGGATTTCATTTTGGAAACCACATACAATTGTATGAATGACGAATTGATGCCGATCTTTCTGCATGTAATTCTGATCTGTTACTTGACAATAAAGAACCATTCATGCAAAAAACATCATAGTGAGTGTGAAATTAGTGTTGGTGTCCCGGTGGTTATCTGGTATGCCAGATTGTTAAAAGTCAACTTGAAGCTAGACTAGATGATTAGATAAATGACCGCTGATGCAGATCCAAGAAACTACTTATCGATTTACAGTCTGTCAGATGAGTAAATGTTGACTCATGACTCTCCAGAAACAAAGTGTCGACTTACAGTCTGTCAGATGAGTAAATGTTGACTCATGACTCTCCAGAAACAAAGTGTCGACTTACAGTCTGTCAGATGAGTAAATGTTGACTCATGACTCTCCAGAAACAAAGTGTCGACTTACAGTCTGTCAGATGAGTAAATGTTGACTCATGACTCTCCAGAAACAAAGTGTCGACTTACAGTCTGTCAGATGAGTAAATGTTGACTCATGACTCTCCAGAAACAAAGTGTCGACTTACAGTCTGTCAGATGAGTAAATGTTGACTCATGAATCTCCAGAAACAAAGTGTCGACTTACAGTCTGTCAGATGAGTAAATGTTGACTCATGAATCTCCAGAAACAAAGTGTCGACTTACAGTCTGTCAGATGAGTAAATGTTGACTCATGACTCTCCAGAAACAAAGTGTCGACTTTACAGTCTGTCAGATGAGTAAATGTTGACTCATGAATCTCCAGAAACAAAGTGTCGACTTACAGACTGTCAGATGAGTAAATGTTGACTCATGAATCTCCAGAAACAAAGTGTCGACTTACAGTCTGTCAGATGAGTAAATGTTGACTCATGACTCTCCAGAAACAAAGTGTCGACTTACAGTCTGTCAGATGAGTAAATGTTGACTCATGAATCTCCAGAAACAAAGTGTCGACTTACAGACTGTCAGATGAGTAAATGTTGACTCATGAATCTCCAGAAACAAAGTGTCGACTTACCCGAATGTGAGAAGAAGGCGACGAATGACCAGTAGGACATGGTGACCACAATGGCGGAGTTACAGCTCAGGTTGTAGATGATCCACTGTAGACGTAGAACGATCGGCATACTTCTCGGGTACATCGGATCTGCAGTTGGGACAAAACAACACTTGAACATCAAAAGATTTGAGTGAGTGAGTGAGTGAGTGAGTGAAGGTTTACGCCCCTTTTAGTAACATTCAGGAAAATTGTCAAAGCGGGGGACACGAGATATGGGCTTCACACATTGTACCCATGTGGGGAATCGAACCTAGGTCTTCGGCGTGACGAGCGATCAAAGAAAACCATTTAAAATGCAGAGAAAGGTGTAAGAAAACAGCGAATATGAAATCCTGCCAATTTAAGGAACGACGATGTTTCTATATCATGGTTGGTGCTGATGTGTTTTGAAGTCACTTCCAACCAGTAACCAGCTGTACCCAGTTGCCTGCCTGCAATATCTCAGCTCATACTATACCATGCGGAATAACCATTATATAAGTCTTGTTACATCTATCCATTTATTGCACAAAATGAAAGAAATTACCATTTGAAGTCATACGTATATTTTTATCTTCTCGTAAACCACTTATATATTTGATGCTAATTGACAGGATGATATTCGAATATTCAATTATCAGTCGAATAAAGCGTTAATTTAAATAAACTACGCTTGAGCGCAGCTCTGACGCAAATGGTGACATGTTCGAGTGCATTCAGTATATGGCTGGTGATGCAGTGATACCACGGAGCAGGTTCTGCAAAGGTTAGTTATACATCTGTGATAGTTCAGAGACAGCGTTCGTGAGACCAGTGATGTATCTGTTGTATATTTGTGCAATATTACAGTATGTCATTTAAAAATATAATTGTCGTCAGTTTTGGATCAAGCTAAATATTTTGTGCAGAACAGTACTCGCAATGAAAGAATTCGTTTGTGCAATTTACTCCAAGGTCATACCGGTCGCGAGATTCAACTATTTAAAGCTGTGTCAGCAACCTTCAAACCATTCCAGACTACCAAGGTCAAACAAGGTGTTCCATCAAACTGCACAAGCGGTGTGACCTTTTATGACATTATTCACACGATCTCCGGTATCTAGACAGCGTTCATTAGACCAATCAATAGATTGAGCATATAACGCCCCTAATGAATCAGATAACAGCCAAACAGGTATTGTCACCTAGCTTCAATTATTCGCCGTAACAACTAACGATTACCAACACACAAACCAGACAGTTTTATGCCCGTCACCAGCATCCATGAGAGGCGATCCTCAGAGCCACATTGATTCTTAATGAGCACAATGTTATCACGCAGATCGTATTATTCTATATTACACATATAAATGATATTGCCTAACCCGAATTACTGGCACTGATGGCGAAATGACAGAACAATCCATCTAAGGGGCTCGAAGGGAATTACATGCAAATGTGCGGCGGTAATGCCTTCCGCGGCTGTAGTTTTCTTATAATGGCTCCCGGTAAACTGACTTGTTGCGTCAGGCTTGTATTGTGCGGCCCCCATCACATTTATCAGGCTTGTTAACGTGAATCAGGGACGGGTGGTTCTGTGGTCCAAGTTAGTTCGCTTTGCAATTTGGTTTTTATTAGTCAGGATCATCGAGGTGGGTTTGAATCTCACATTTGTCCCGATTCTTTCTCATGGTTTGTTGGCACCATGTACTTGCTAATGGGGTTTTCACAAAAGTGGTAAACGCCTAGCATGTTCCAAGCCAACTAGCAGTCAGGATCCTCTTGTTGTGGGTTTGAATCCCAAACTCTTCCAGTTGACTTTTTTAGTCTTGGTGTGTTCGCACCACATTCTTGCTCTTGGGATTTTCACCCTTGCTCTTGAAGTTTTCACCAAAGTGATACATGTCTGAGTTCAATCGCGATGGTTCAATTTTCAATAAGACCACACAACACCCTCGCTATTGGAGTTTTCACCAAAGTGGTCAATGTCTGATTTATATCAGGATGGTTCAATTTTCAATAAAACCGTCACGCTATGATGTGACTGAGCTGTTCAAAGCCACATAAATCATATTTTGTCGCCCACTCCCTATGAGTCGATTTGGGTGAGGTACATGTCTTTAATCAGTCTGAAATTCAAACGCCATTTATCTACTTGTTCCCGTCGTTTAATGTAAATTTGCAAAAATCAGCACCATATGCTGTCTTTGATCAATGAAGTAATTCCTGGTAATGTCGCTGAACTGAAACACTAGTACATTAACCACTCTACCTCTTTTTGTTGCTATATTCAATATTAAAACGCTACTGCCATTCTCACAACCTAATTATGCAATTTGTTGTGTTTGATCACAGACAAGTAACGAGATTTGCTGAGGAATCATAGCCCCTGCCAATGTCGTAATCGTTACGCCTTTCGTTATGGACACAAAAAGTAATATCAGATACAGTAATTGCAGCCTCGTCATTGCCAGTATCGACTACATCGCTATGAAAGATGAATATGAATATTACTCGAGAGTTTAAGATTTAGTTTTAGTAAAAACCCTTCATTTAACTACAGGAAATCTTTGAATGATTTTCACTGTTATCTAAAAGCATGTGCTTGTGGGCCCATTCACAAAGTGACGATATCAGGTGTTCGCATAAAGCTGAGCTTATGCACCATCACAAACACACGCAAAGGTAAGTCAATTGTCCATCCATAAACGCTGAAACACATATTGAAGGTCAAAATAGGTAATTACATTAGATATACTTTACGTCAAAGATCATGTGTTTGATTTGTAAACGTTCACCACATGTCATCGGCAACCTGATCAAATTCCGATCATATTGGTCAAAAACGTAAATGAGATCATTTTCTCGGACTGTGAACAAAACATCGGGAGAGGGAGACTAGCACAGAGACAGGATCTCTCACGATACTGTAAAATCCACAAACTTTTACAAATGCACGTCTTTTATTATCTGATCCACCTCTACCAACATTTAAGACAGCCCCTGCAAATCTGTGTCAAAATCGGATCAAGAGCAAAAGTGTCAAAAGAATGTAACCACTGTAATCGACATTGCTATGGCTATGACTGCCATATCATCCTACACAGTGTATTTTTTTTATGTCCGACAGAAATAATTTCTTCTCCTGCCTGATTGATAAACTTGGTGTATATTTATATGTTAAAATAGATATGCTCGACGACGATGATATGCTGGCACTGTTTCTCGGCGCAGATATACATGACTTAGCTGAAATAATTGACTATGAAACATGGGAATACATAATACTTTCATTTTCTCAATTCGTATGGAATCTAAAGAAACATCTGATGTACATCTTTTAAACACAGCCCTACTGCTCACAAATTGTACATTGTAAATTATCTATTAATGAGCAGTCTAACATACGCTTCCATTTTGTTACAAATGTTGTTCCATTTCGTTGAATGTATGTGATGTATTGTAAATAATGTATTTGCCTTTGTACGATCTTAGGATTCAACTCTGGAGGAAATAAAGACTTTCATTCATTCATTCACTCAGCTATCTCAGGCATTATCCGGTTTGGAGCCACAATCAAATAGAGTAGCCTAGTGGTTAAAGCGTTCGCTCGTCACGCTGAAGACCGGATTCGATTTCTCACATGGGTAAAATGTGTGAAGCCCATTTCCGGTGTCCCCCGCCGTGATATAGCTGGAATATTGCTAAAAGCGGCGTAAAACATAACTCACTCACTCACAATTGCATAATTTGCGAGATACCCCAGAACTAGACCACACCGCAACTCCTTGCTGCCAGTACTGTACGATACCCACACAGATTAAAGGGACCTTTGACAGGGGACACACGGTACTGATACCCAGACGTAGGGTATTAGGACATCCTCTGTGGAACAAATCATACATGACGGGCAGGAGTTACCCAACCTTGGTGATGAATGTTCTCCGTGCGACTGTCCTTCAGCGAGGGAGATAAGTGGACTCGCACTAACACAGATTAATGGTGTTTATTAGGAATCAAAGAACAAAAGCTCCTTTGGGAAGTATTCACTGAATTGCACAGCTCTGCTGCTTGACAGCCTGCGTCGAAGAAATCGATTAGGAATTTGAATATTTTACCGGGCGTATGGATTGAATGTGTAATGTGTAAGTTTTTGCTGATAGAGCAGACATTTGATAGTAAATCAAAATGAAATATGAACTTGCGGCAGTCATTTTGAATTAGCAGTACGTGGTATATAACGTACGGCAAAGAGACAATATTTCCCCCAATAACTGATATTTGCTATCGTGTGTGTGCCATCAATCTTGGCCCTGGTAATCTGCTCCGGTCGCCCCATGCATTAGAGAGTCAGTGCTACATTGGGTAGTGGTGACGGGTTGCCAACCTGCCCCATATACATATATCTACCGGCGATGGACAACGTGTACCCATACACGCATCTTTCTCAACATCATTCCAGTTTAACTCAAGCATTCCTGTCCTTCAAATCTACCCTCCAACCATTCATGACTGTATGGTCATGACGAGAACAGCCCTTTCCTCCACATCTACCACACACTCACTGGGATCAGCCCCGCTCCTCAAGGTCACCTAACGTCCTTCAGAAATGGTCCACACTTACAAATCTAACCCACACAAGGCAGACTCATCTCATCATCTCCAAATCTACCTCAGTATCCACCCGGTGTATCACACGCTCTTCATCTGTATTGATCTTACCACATGTTTTGCAAGCCGACTTCAACATCCATTACGTTTACTCTTCCATTATATCCACGCTCTTCTAGTTCCCATGTATCTCCAGCAATCTGTCTCCTCCCCATACACCCACTCTCTTCTCTCCAGCAATTTGTCTCCTCCACATACACCCACGTTGTTCTCTCCAGCAATCTGTCTCCACCCCATACACCCACGTTGTTCCCGCCAGCAATCTGTCTCCTCCACATACACCCACATTCTTCTCTCCAGCAATATGTCTCCTCCCATACACCCACGTTGTTCCCTCCAGCAACCTGTTCTCCTCCCATACACCCACGTTGTTCCCTCCAGCAACCTGTCTCCTCCACATACACCCACGTTGTTCCCTCCAGCAATCTGTCTCCTCCCCATACACCCACGTTGTTCCC